TTGGTGCACCAATTACCTTAAATCGGATGAAAATATATATGGGAGCTATATCTAAATCTGAACCGATTTTCATGATACTTTGCACACATCATTCTAGACCCTATTCATTACGCTGTGACAAATTTCGTGCAAATCGAAAGATATATATGATCTTTGGTACACCATTTACATTAAATCGGACGAAAATATATATGGGAGCTATATCTAAATCTGAACCGATTTTTCCCAATTTCAGTAGCGTTCATCCTTGGGCCAAACAAATGAGCTGTACCAAATTTCATCCAATTCGGATCATAAATCCGACCTGTACTTTGTTTACAATTTAACTTGGACAGACAGACGGATGGGCAGACTTGCATAAATCGACTTAGAAAGTGATTCTATGCGTATTCTCCAAAGGAACCATGGGTCTATCTCGATTATTTTGCCTGTTACAAACATATGCATAAAGACAGGGTCCACAGTGTGGTGAAGGGTATAAAAATCCACGCCTTTGAATATGCCTAGAAAAAATTCCTCCGACCGAAGCTGAGAATGCTCTTTCTATAGATTGTTTTTCTATAGGTTTTATGACTTATTGCTCTTCCCTCGTATTTCGATGAGAAGATTATTTAAGTTTCTAATAAAACTGAAAGAGACCCATGGTCACCATCATCCGCAAATATAAATCTAATGCAAAAGAAAAACAAAAGTAATAGTAAATTTTTGCAAATTTCTTATCAGTACTAATTTAGCTGGCGCGAACGCAATGTCGGAAACGCATTTACATAAATAAACAACAAAAACAATAGAAAATAAAAAAACGGATGTTTTATATTTCGAAAAGAAAATCTAAATAAATATGCTGTCATTTGGAATAAGAAGCTGTTTACTAATTTATTTCCTCAACCTAAGCCTGGGCCAGCCCACCCACCATGGATCTCTTAGTGAATCGGAATTCATACGCAACTCCAAGTCCCTGGAAATTCTGCATTATATGAATGCCTCAGCAAATCCATGTCAAAATTTTTATGAATTTTCCTGTGGCCATTGGCAGAGCTATCATCGAAATAATGGCTTTCCGGAAATTGAAGGAGTTTTGCAGAAAATGGAAATCGAATTTGAGGAGGATATGAAAAATGTATTACTATCCCGGACGGAAGGGGATACGTATGGGGAGAAATTGCTGAAAATATTTTATAAATCCTGTTTGAATTTACCTAATATGTGGCACGAATATTTATTATCCTTAAAGGAAATTGTCAAGGAATTTGGTAAAGGACTTTGCATGACAAGTGAAGTGCAGGAAAAATTCGATTGGCTGAAAGTGGTTTTGGAAATCTACCAAAAATATGATTTGGAAATAATAATGGGTATTAAGTTTTCAGGACCCACAAAGGGTGTATTAGGTCCAAGGATAGTGATTGGCCATCCTGATTTTAAGCTTGATTCCAAATGGATATATATTGGAGAGGAATATGAAATTGATCGTCAAAAATATATGTTTACTATGGCCTTTAATTTGATCTACTATTTATATGTACCCGCCAAAGAGGCCCTAATATTGGCGCGAGAAATGTTAAATTTTGAAATAAATCTGGCAAGAGGCCTTAGTAGTGGAAAATTCGAGGAAATGTATACCTTGACGTCCCTTGAAAAAATTCAGCAAAAATATGGATGGGATCTCGAGGTGAGACAATTTCCCAGAACTCTCTACGAAGAAGAAATTTATCTGCAGAACCTTGTGAAGGTGTTGGAGAACACCCCCTCCCACATAGTTTCAAATTATATTTTCTATAAATTATTGAAGAATTTTTTCATGGAAAAATCTTCGGACAAAGAAACCCAGCAAACTTTGTGCCTTAAGAAAACCAAAGAAATATTTCCCTCCTCCTTGGAAAATATGGTTTACCGCACGATACACAATCCTCAAACCGAAAAAGATCTTCAAGAACTATGGCACTACATAAGAGACAACTTTCGTGAGAAAATCTCAAACCCAACAAGTCATTGGTATCAACAATATCCCTTGGATAAATTGGATCAAATAGAACTGGAAATACCCGAACTCACTTTCAAACCGGAATATGATTTTCAAAATTTGAATTTTCAGGAAAATGATTTTCTCCACAACCTCAAAATCTTACTCACAAATAAAGCCAATACAAAACGCCTACACCTTCTACACAAAACATCACCCCACACCTCCCCCAACGACGATCACATCAACAAAATTACCATACCTGTGAAATTATTGCAACCCCACTATCTCTGGTCTCCGCACGTTCCCAAGGCCTATAATTTTGCCAAATTAGGTACACTTATGGCACGTGAACTGATACGTGACCTAGTACATATGCATTACAATGGAACCGCCCACTACTCCCCTCCACTACACCACATTTTGCAATGTTTAGAAATCATCAACGACAATCACCACCTTCCACCATCGTCAACACCATTGACAGGCGCTCAATTGGAATCGTTAATAGATAATGGTGGCCTTCATCTATCCTACACTGCCTATTTGCAATGGTATGCCAATAATAGAGGAAACTCCCACCTAATAGCCATGGAAACGTATTCTCGTCTACGTTACAGCAATAAACAATTATTTTTCCTTCATTATGCCCAAATGTGGTGTTCCAGTTGGAAGTTGAACGCTGAACTCTTTCATCAGGGCCACATTCCGTATGATGTTCGTGTCATCGATTCTCTGGCAAATTTAATGGAATTTTCCAAAGTATTTAAATGTCCCGTGGATAGTCTAATGAATCCATTAAGAAAGTGTGAAATATTTTAAGAAATATATTATAAACAAATTTTAAAAAAATTGTTTTGATAATTTTGTAAGGTTAAAATTTAACAAAACAGAAACCTCACCCCTAGCTGAGCTGAGGATTTTTTTTTCTATAGTAAAAAAGAAACCTCAGCTAGGGCTGAGCAATTTTTTTTATAGAAAAAAAGAAACCTATGATAGGGCTGAGGATTTTTTGTCTATAGAAAAAAAAAACCTCAGCTAGGCCTGAGGATTTTTTTTCTATAGAAAAAAAGAAACTTCAGCTAGGGCTGAGGAATTTTCTTCTATAGAAAAAAAGAAACCTCAGCTAGTGTTGAGGAATGTTTTGCTATAAAAAAAGAAACTTCAGCTAGGGCTGAGGAAACCTCAACTAGAGCTGAGGAATTTTTTTCTATAAAAAAGAAACCTCAGCTAGGACTGAGGAATTTTTCTATAGAAAAAAGAAACCTCAGTTAGGGCTAAGGAAGTTTTTTATAGAAGAGAGAAGGAGTTGTTGTCTATAGAAAGAGTAGACCTCAGCTGCAAGAGTAGATCACAGCTGAGGTCTACTCTTTCTATAGATAAAAACTCCTTCTCTGAGGTTTCTTTTTTCTATAGAAAAAAATTCCTCAGCCCTTGCTGAGGTTTCTTTTTTTTCTATAGAAAAAAATTCCTCAGCACTAGCTGAGGTTTCTTTTTTTCTATAGAAAAAAATTCCTCAGCCCTTGATGAAGTTTTTTTTCTATAGAAAAAAAATCCTCAGCCTTGCTGAAATGGTTTTTCCATAGAAAAAAATTCCTCAACCCTTGCTGAAGTTGTTTTTCTATAGAAAAAATGTCCTCAGCCCCAGTTGAGGTTTCTTTTTTTTATAGAAAAAAATTCCTCAGCCTTAGCTGAGGTTTCTTTTTTTCTATAGAAAAAAATTCCTCAGCCCTAGCTGAGGTTTCTTTTTTCTATAGAAAAAAATTCATCAGCCCTAGCTGAGGTTTCTTTTTTTCTATAGAAAAAAATTTCTCAGCCCTAGCTGAGGTTTATTTTTTACTGAATATGGAAATTTCTTATTCAGCCAGGCTGAATAGAGATTTCCATAGGAAATTTCTTATTCAGCCAGGCTGAATAGAGATTTCCATAGGAAATTTCTTATTCAGCCAGGCTGAATAGGGATTTCCATAGGAAATTTCTTATTCAGCCTGGCTGAATAGTGATTTGCATAGGAAATTTCCTATTCAGCCTGGCTGAATTGTGATTTCCATAGGAAATTTCTTATCCAGCCTGGCTGAATAGTGATTTCCACAGGAAATTTCTTATTCAGCCTGGCTGAATAGTGATTTCCATAGGAAATTTCTTATTCAGCCCGGCTGAATAGTGATTTCCATAGGAAATTTCTTATTCAGCCTGGCTGAATAGTGATTTCCATAGGAAATTTCTTATTCAGCCTGACTGAATAGTGATTTCCATAGGAAGTTTCTTATTCAGCCTGGCTGAATAGTGATTTCCATAGAATATTTCTTATTCTTATTTCTTTTAATTCGAAAAAGTAAATGAAAAGCCATATAATTTAATATCCCTTTTATTAAAGACCATGTCCTTTGACCCATTACCACCCAGGCAAACCCCTACCAAGCCCACTATAATTCCCTTGACATTTCACCTCGATTACAAAAATAAATTCATCTTTTATTGATTTCAATTTTCCATTTCATTGTTGATTGTTAATTTCCGTTTACTGTTATTTTTTTATTTCGGATTTTTTGCTTATTTTCGAACTCTGCTTCTTCTTCTTCTCGTTTTTTACTTACCGTGAGTTAAAATGTTAATCGTTTCGTTGTGCCAATAAAACAGACTTAGGAGGCAGCCCTTGAATGTTTGCAGTGGACGGTAACCTTTGAGAACGTACGGGTTGAATTGCAAATACTGGGGCATGTCCTGCCATTGCAAGAGTTCCGCATCGAAGTCGGCAACATTGGAGAAGCCTTTCATTGACGGCGATGGCGACGATGCGATGGAAGAGGCGCCCGAGCCAGGCGATGACGAGGATGGTGTTGTCGTGGAAGTTGAAGGTGACAGTAAGGCGGGTGTAGTGGCTAATGGTGGTGGTGTAATGGAAGAAGTTGTTGTTGTTGTTGCTGACGATGATGATGAAGACGATGATATTTCGTTTGCGTCAGCTGCAGCAGAAGACGATGAGGATGATGAGGCATTCGAATTAATTGACGATGAGGTAGTTGATGAAGACATTGTTTTAGTTGTTGTTGTGGTGCTGGTGGCGTTGGTTGTTGTTGCCATTAATGATGGACCAGAAGACATTTCCCGTTTGCAGTCCATAGCAGGACAGGAAGTGTTCTCAAGTGGAAGCATTTGATTTTTTATTATTAATTGTGGTTTTTGTTGTTGTTGCGGTTGCATTTGTGGTTCCCTAATTGTTGTCCCACCCTCCTCAGCATCGGGCTCCAGCTCGGACGATTTGCCGGCAGTCGTTCCATTAGCATTACCCGCTTGAGCAATTGTTGTGATATTGTCATCCGGCAGAGGTTGCTCCTCCTGCTGCTGCTTCACTACGTTACCGTTACGCCTTAAAATCGGTGTAGCAATCACAGACGATGTCGTTGATGTGGAATTCGATGTGGTCTTCGATGATGACGACGACGATGAATAGGAGCCGGGCGACGGTGGCGGTGATGGCGGTTGCCGTTGCGGTATTAATGAGGTATTCAAATTTGGAAACTTGTCTCCTCCCAACGCGGAGGTGAAGGAACCGGGCAAAGTGTTGGCCATCTCTTTCTTGGAAGGTGATGTAGCCATTAGGGACTTGCATTCGCGGTCAGCCGTATTGCCCAAATAATCATTTGCATCTATAAGATGTGTTAGGCCATTTTTGGGTCCTTTTGGTGGTGCACTGTCGTTGACAGTGCCAGCATTGCTGTTAACCGCTGTAACGCGATGCCGTAGAACAGCCATGGGTACCTCATGAGCTTGATGAAGATGGTGGTGGTGATCGGTGGTGATGTTGTTTGTTGTAGTGGTGGTGGTGCTGTTATTGGTAGTGTCGGTGTCGTTGGCGGAGGAACTGGTACCAGCGCCACACTTGTTGCTGCCATTGCCTTGGGCATTCGCCTGGACCAGCATGTGCTGTGTCATCGTCTCTCCGCCATTTCCCGTTTCCGTTTCGATGGTGGTGGTGATGGTGGTAGTGGTGCTATTGCTGATGCTGCTGCTGCCATTGCAATCGACAGCAGTTTGCATTTTCTATTTTGTCCTTTGATGGGGGTTTTATTGGTGTATCGTTAATAGTTTCTAAACAAGGCAACCGATTTTTTTCGTTTTGGTTTTGTTTGTTTGTCTGCTTTGTGTTGATGTTCGTCCTTGTTTTTCTCGTCGTTACAATTGAAATTGCTTTGATGTTGTTTGGTGTTTTTTAATGGGTGTGTAGGGAGAATTTTTGTCCTTGTGGATGGGAAATGGAATGCTGAAGATGTTAGTTATCGTAGGGTGGGTTAATGAATTTTACCGGATTGTTTTTTTTTCTTTTTTACTTTTTAATCGGATATTCTGCAATGGAAGAAGAAAAATGTAGAAAATTAAAGGAAATTGAGAATAAATTCAATACTTGGTTTTGTAAATTTATTGAAGATATTGGTAAAAAATTAGTTTGCTATACAATTAAATGGAAGGTAAGGTCGGTAGGAATAATTAGTTTGTATAGAAAAAATTGAGTAGAATTTTCAAGGGCATTTCTATTTTCCAACCTATGCTGAGCACCAGTATATCATGGTTTGGTGCATTTGTTTGGGAGTCGATTTATGCAATTCCGTAAGTTATCAAATTTCTTCTCCAATTACAATGAATATTCACACAATTCCTTCTACTGGCCCAAGTACGAACCCTACTGAAATTTTATGATAAACGGATTTATATATATTGCTCCCATATAATGTTTTTCGTTTTATTTCCCGTGAATGCTGCATCAGCTCGTATAATGCTACCATATATTTTTTGATAGGAAAAGTATGCCTCAGGGTCCTGATAACATTTTCTTCTATAGAAAAAAAGAAGTTTTCAAGGTCTCTTAGGCGTTCCTTTTCTATAGAAAAAAAATGTCATCAGGCTCATGATTACTCCTTTTTCTTCAGAAAAAATAATCATGGTCCTGATGACATTTTCCCCTATAGAAAAAAGTCCTGAAGGTCCTGATAATATTGACATCAAATTCATTCTAAAGTAAAAGGAGTCATCATGGACCTGATATCTTAAAAAAAATCCTCATAATCCTGATAATTTTTTATATAAAAAATGATTATTTTTTATAGGGCTTCCCAATTTGTCATTCGGTTTAAAACAGGTCAGAATAGTTCTGTGTCGATAAAGCTATGTCAGTCTATTTGTTGAAGTCACGTGTGACCTAGCGTTGTTCTGGTGGAACACGACACCTCTCCTATCTTCAAACTATGGAAAACGGTTCAGTTGTTGACAGTAGAGCTCAGAATTTATCGTTTGGCCATATGGAAGCAACTCATAATAAATAAGCCCTTTCCGGTCCTACCAAATGTATTGCAGAACCTTCCTGGCCGTTAGTCCTAGTTTGGCCAGCGTTTGGGGTGCTTCACCGCTCTTTAACCACGATCGTTTTCACACAGGTTTGTCGTATGTGATCCATTTCTCATCTCCAGACATCATCCTTTTAAGAAATGGGCCTATCTCATTCCGTTTGGCTAAGGCTTAATATATGCTTTACAGGCTTTCTGATGACATTCTTTATATAGGAAAAGCAGTACTCAGGGTCCCGATAATTTTTTTCTATAGAAAAAGAAGTTCTCAGGGATCTGTGATTTTTTTTCATTTTGTCATCAGGATGCAATTTTTTTCTATAGAAAAATAAGTCCTCAGGGTACTATAAAAAATGCTTAAGGTTCTAATAAAAAAAAATAATTTTATTAGATAGATATCATCAGGGTGCTGATGATATTTTTTCTATTGGACGGTTCACGTAAGGATATCGCCTCCCATGTACGCATACTCTTCGGACTTGGAGGCTTTCTGGATGTACTACTCAATGAGCTTCGCATTTTTCAATAGAAAAAAGTCCTTTGTGAACGTATTATACCCTACACAACTATGTTGTCAGGGTATTATAGCTTTGTGCAGCCCCAAAAGTTTGTAACGCCGCGAAATATTGGTCCTAGACCCACCTTTAAGTATACCGATCGTTATCTCACACTAGCTGAGTCGATCTAGACATGTGTGTCCGTCCGTCCGTCTGTCCATTATAATTTGTAAACACGATACAGGCCACAGTTATGGACCAATCTTCCCGAAATTTTGCATGTAGAATGGGTTCTGGCCAATGAAAACCCCTATTGCTTTTGGGAAAGATCGGTTAATATTTATGGGAAGAAATGGACCAAATACTAAATTTTTTTCGGTTTTTCTGGTCGCTCCAGAGGCCGCAATAATGGCCCGAACATCGTGAAATTTTGCATGGAGAAGGTGATCGGCCCAAAGAATAAGCATCACTCTAGAGAGCGGGACTATAACGCTGAAATGTTCCATGAGGTTCCAGGTATGGTCAAGGACAACGCCTATAATTATCGGTGATGATCAGATAATAATTTTGGAATGAAGTGGACCGAGTCGATCGATCTATAAACCACAAATGAAAGCCGAGCATCACAACACAACCCACGGTGAAGGGAATCTGGACAATAGCTGTACTGAATACTCGTGATATTCGGAAAATACGTCAGTGCGAGGAAGAGGTGTTGTTTACCTCTAATCGAGCAAGAGGGTGCAAATATCTGGAAATATTGCCCAGGCTCGCAATAAACATCCGCAGAAAATTTGAGTTCCGTAGTAGTTGTGTAGGGTATCGTATGGTCGGCCCCGTCCGACTATACTGCTCCGCTCACTGTTTTTTTTTTTTAATTTTTCTATGGAAAAATTAGTCCAATGTCTATAGAAAATAAAGTTTCGATACCTTTCAAATAGTCGGTTACATAAGGCTATTGGTAAACCGATGTGGATCTTTTTTGTAAAAAGATTTGCCATCCAACGAGAGCTTTAAAAGAGGCAAGTGTGTTAAAAACTTGTCCAAAGTGCCGAAAGTTGTGCCAATATTATTTATGGTAAAGAGAGATTTCCTACCTTATGAAAGTCCACAATATAAAAATACAGCAAATATAAAATTACATGAAAATATCTTCATCTACCGACTATTTCAATGTTATCGAAACTTTATTTTCTATAGACATTATACTAATTTTTCCATAGAAAAATTAAAAAAATATTGTAGACTTTCTTTTCTTAAAAAAAAATTCAGCCAAAATTTTGAGTCGATTATTGGTTCTCATTCATATCGGTCAAGATTTTATATGGTCCTCATATAGTACTACCGATTTTAATTTATTTTTAAGGATTTCAGACATTTATTTTTGCTCTAATTTTATATTTCCAGTTCTCATTTATTGACAAAATATTATTGTCCCATTGATAAAGGTTCAGTCCCTTTATAAGTATTTTGATGGTCCGAATTTTCCAACCGAAGTGGCTATATTTTAGCATTACAATGTGGCTGTAATTTGTCATTCCCGAGACTTGCTGGATAAACAACTTCTTCACCGATAATTTTCAATATAAATCCATGTTACTCCACAGCCCTCACTCATGCATCATTTTCAAGGTCCTAGTCCAATTTTGCATCTTGAGTGTCTATATTTGGTTTTTTTTTCAGCAAAAATTAACCTCCACTCAATGGTCACTCATCATGCATCATTTTCAAGATCCTAGTCTAATTTTGCATCTTGAGTGTCTGTATTTGGTTTTTTTTTCAGGAAAAATTAACCTCCACTCCATGGTCGCGCATCAAGGTCCTAGTCCAATTTTGCATCTTGAGTGTCTGTATTTGGGTATTTGTTTTTTTTTTCAGCAAAAATTAACCATGGCAAAGCCTCCATCGATTTTTGGTGTGTTCAATGTTTACATAATGATGGAGGGTATAAATAATAGACCTGTCTGAATATAATTTGTGGTTGTGATTTTGAAAATAGTAATATGCTGCATGTCAATCTATTGTGGTTACCAATGGAAATTTTTCAGTACAGGTTCACCGTTTTCGTTTATCCATTGTATAAAGATTCCGTTTTCACTACTCCGAAATTATTAGACGTACTTGCCAACATTCTTCACGCCAGTAGAGTATAGCTTTAAGTAGGGTTAGAAAAATTAGATCCCATAACAACGAATTTAAAAGCATCGCGAATTTTACATAATTTAATGTATTCAACTCCAGTGGCTTTCACTTTTCGGGTTTAGCCCCTATACATTTTTTTACAGGGTTGCCCATATTCGACGGACCCATGTTTTTTTTTTAATCAAAGAAAAAAATAAAAATTTGGCGGTTGGCAATGTTAATCATTTAATTTGTTCCAAGTTTACATCAGTTTTTGAATATGATATCTCTCTAATGGCCGCCTCTGGCGTTGATGACGCATTGTGCCCTTTTTGGCCGGAATAGCGGCTATTGGAATAAAAACGGCCCAATGACCGTTTTCGCACTAACGCCGCACCAAACTGTGACTTTTTCGTCATGAAGAGGTACTTCTTGAATCTCGTGAGGATTTTCAGTGGCGTAAAACGGCAATTTTGCTTATTTACGGTCCCATTCAATGTGAAATGGGCTTCATCGGACATGATAATTTTGTACCAAAATTGCTCGTCATCTTCGGCCATTTCGATGACTGTTTGGGCCCATTCAATCGATGAGGCTTGTCCGCAGGCAATATTCTTTGTGTCAATTGAATTTTGTACGGGAACAAATACAAATCAATGCGAATAATCCGTTGTAAAGTGGACCGAGCCATGCCCAACTGCTGAGAACGGCGTTTTTGGGATGTTCTTGGGGACCTCTCAACACTGGCTCGTACGGCAGCGATATTCTCGGCCGATCGCCTTGGTCGACTTTTACATGGCCTCTTCGGATTAGAAAGAGCCTTACCAGTCGAAAATTTTTCGTATAAACGGTTAATGGTGTTCTTAGAAGGCGCACCTTTCACATTTTTTAATGTTTTAAAAGCACGCTGAGTTTTCACAATTGACTTCTTCTTTTGAATGTAAATTTCAGCTATTTCAGAGAGCTCGCTTGGCGT